CAAAGGCAATCATCTCTGAATTGAAAGTTAATGGCATGTTTGCATCTTCTTTTTCTACCTGCCTTCCTACCATTTCCTGTTGTGCATTGAACTGGGCATACAGCTAAAGGAAACTGATAAAGATAGTGCTTGATGGTGCGAGCTTAATGTGTTGAGCTTGGCTTGAGACAATACATTAGCTCGCCAGTATTGATGTTCTGCTTCATGACTAGGACTTTGTAAGATGCACTGGCTTCCATATATTATAAAAGTCTGCCAGGATGAGAACTAATGATGAACATGTTAGGAACCATAGCACCCAGAACTTACATATCATGGAATTGGTAATAAAATAATTTATAATATTATTGGCACAGGGGGTAGCCAAAGATCAGAAAATATTAATTCACTATTTCATCTGTTTCAAAAACATTACTTAAAAGATGCTAAGCAATTATTATTTAGGATAATTCAGCTTTATGATAACACCACATCTGCTGAGTTCAGAGACGGTGCACCAAATATTTCCCTTAGTTACCTACCATTAATTCACACAGGCAAATGTAGAAGCATTTCTTTGTAAGGACTGCCCCAAGAGAAGATTTACATACCTATTTATGGCTTCTATTTTATTGGTGCATATGTATAATGATAGTTATTTTACTGTTCAGTTTGACGTTTCTTGAAAATTTTCCCTCAATAAAATCACTCCTTTAAAAAAAACAAACTTTTCTTTTCTTTTTTTTTTTTTTTTTTTTTTTTTGCTGAAGTGCAATGGCATGATCTCGGCTCACTGCCATGATCTCCGTCCGCCTCCTCGGTTCAAGCAATTCTCCTTCCTCAGCCTCCTGAGTAGCTGGGACTACAGGTGTCCGCCACCACACCTGGCTAATTTTTGTATTTTTAGTAGAGACAGGGTTTCACCATATTGGCCAGGCTGGTCTCAAACTCCTGACCTTGTGATCCACCCACCTCGGCCTCCCAAAGTGCTGGGATTACACGTGTGAGCCACTATGCCCGGCCATCTTTCTTATTTTCTTTACCAGTATGAAAGTTACTGTCACATAATGTTATTAATGTATTGGATCATAGGTATGACACACGTTTATTATTAATCTTAATTAACATACAGCAAAGTGTTTTGTAACGTAGTGCTCAATAAATATTTGTTAGCTTGAATAGATATATTATTAATGCTTCCAGAAAAAAATTCAACCCAAAGAGAGATGCTAACTTGTCCACATTAAGCTAAATATTTCCATCTATAAGCTACTCTCTAATTATGTTGTTTTGGATAGGATGTTATTTGATTTTGTCCTTGCAACATTTATATGAATTAGGTATTATTAGGACTGTATGCTATCAATGAGGAAATGCATATTTAGAATTTTGGAACTTGCTAAAGATCACACAAGTAGTATGTGGCACTGATGAAATTTACACTTGGATTTCACTGATTCCAAGTCCCACACTGCATATCAGTGTTTAGGTTAGCTTGAAGTTGAAGAGACTGTTTAGCTATCACATATTCTATTTCACAGAATAAGCCAAAGCTCTTGGTAGTTTACAGGTTTACTAGAGGTAAGTAGGAGCATTTTACAGGGAGAGGAGAGAGGGACTCTAAAACAAAGCAGTTGTAATTACTCCACCTTAAATAATATCCTTTGGTTCCAGCACTTCAATGAAACTACTCTACCAGAGAACAGTGAGTATCTAATTTCCATTCCAATATCCATTTCCCATCCTTATTGAATTTGGCCTTTAATTAGCATTTAATACCATGTACCATTTCTGTTATATGCCTAATACTAACTAATGGGGACTACCATTTAAGTAGAATTTGGATTTTTCTGAAAGGCTAGAGATTTTAAATGAGGTTTTTCCTCTTTTTATAATCTCTCTCTCTCTCTTTTTTTTTATTATTCTTGAACGCAACTTTTATTTTTTAATTGCTTAAGATAAATTGCCAGAAGCTAATGTTTGGGTTACAAACATGATTTTTTAAAAAATTGATCTTGAAATGACTTGCCAAATCACTTCCCAAAAGAAGAAAATGTAGTGACAATATACAAGTATATATATTACAACTTTCACTATAATCTTATTGTGAGATTTCATAATCTAAAGATATTTTTCAAACCCCAAAGATTACATCACAATTTAACTTTTTATGAGATCTGGTTTTCTTAAAATAGAACAATGTAAAGAGCTGTATCTATATTGGCTTCTTTTCATTTTCCCAGAGATAATTGTAATACATCTTTCCCTCATTCTGTTTCCCTCATGTATCATGTTTAGTGGTACTTAGGTTTTTCTATGTAATATGAAACATTATAGGTAAGTGAAAGCCTGCAAAACACAATGTTAAATTTTAATTTTGATGATCCATTGGTACTTGGAAGTGTGTAATGGTTGGAAAAAGTTAAGGATGTAACTTCATTTTTTGAAATAATATGGGATGTGAGAAAGCAGATATGATTCACAAAGGAAAACAAAAGACAAGAAATGAGAGTGGATTGTTATGGTAAAGTGATAAAAGATGAAATTAGGAAAGCATAGAGTTATTCTAATATAGGAAAATTCTTCTTTAAAAGCTTTGTGAAAACACTGATTTTGAGTCTCAGCTTGTTTCCATAGTATCCCAGGTAAAAATACACTTTTCCTTCATTATTCATTGCCTTTGCACCAGCTGTTCCCTTCAACTAGATTCTTCTCTGCTATTCCAGTGCAGGGGTTCTTAATCTCAGCACTGTTGATATACTTGACAATTCGCACAGTTGTTTTTGCTGGGGGGTGGAGTGGAGACATCCTGTTCACTGTAGATTATTTAGTAGCATTGCTGTTTTAAAAATACTGGAAACAGTAATACAAATCTCCTACTACCACCGCTCAGTCATCTTGTACCCTCTTTGAGAACAATTACTCTAGTGAAAACGTATAAATGAAACATAGCTGTAATGGAAAAAAAAATCAAGAGGTCACCTCGGAAAAGACTTTGAAATACCCAAGCCCTCCCTTCCAACAGATTTGATCATTTCTTTGTGCTTCTGTCATATGTTAAAGCAACCTCTTTTATTAAATTTATTATACTGTTTGTCTTCATGGAACAAATATTTGTTCAATGCTTGAACTAGCTCGCTCTGGTGAATCTAGTGTTCTGGTGTGTATTTCTTTCCAAAAAGAAATATAATGTTTCATAATATAATGTCATCCTGAAATCAACCATGGGGGTAGTATTAATACCATGGAAATTGGAAAATGCTGCAAATCAGGTTTTTATTTTCCCTAGAGAGCTAATTATTAAACATTTAATAATACCCCTCATGCCTACTATATGCAACTCTTCTCTGAATAGTGGCAACATAAGGGACAAAAAGATGCCATGTCATCTAACAAGTTTTATTAACTGGATTGTGAACTCCTCAAAGAAAAGATTATTTTCTACTTACCTTCTAAATGGGGTACTAGCATAGTGAGTGATTCACTGATGACACTCAAAAAAAGTTAATAACAACATTTATTTGAACATTCATTTAAATTATGAGCGTGGAATTTCCTCAAAGAACTTTCTTAAACGATGGTTTTGCTTCTGTTTATTTTTGAATCTAGAACTTTCTTACAACAATTGGATGTTTCAGTGGTTAGTTTATTTTTATATTTCTAAAATCTAGTGATTCAGCAGGAACATTCTCTCAAGCTGCAGGAAGTTTTGCAGTTTAATTAAGGCTAACCTGAGCTTTTCAAAATGTTTTTTGTGATTTCTTACAATTACTTTGACCATTTCATTCACCAGGGACTTTTGTAAAGTGAAGCTTTCTCTTTCATTCTCCTAACGATTACTCTTCACTCCACGGGTTTTGCCTCATTTTTTCTTTTTCTTTCTTTTTTTCCCCTTGCTTTTCTTTCTCTTTACTTTTTTGGTGATTCAGACTTTTACATCTGTACTATATATTGATTTGTAAAGCCCTTTTTATTAGAACGTAAAATCAACACATTTTTAGAGAAGTGATTACACATGGGAAGGAGAGGAAGAGAAAAAAAGGATTAAGTTTTAGAAAGTTAGCTCTATCTGTGATTATTTCATTTTTAAAAAAATCCTAAAACAAAAATGACAATTTTTTAACTTTTGTTAAACTTGTATGTCGAATAAAGAAGTGAAAGTTTTCTCTACTGTGTGTATGTTTAAAATGTTTTACAATTATGATATAATAAAGCATTGTTTAAAAATTAGATAATCTAGAAAACATAATGGAAGTAAGGACTGGCCAGACTAATAACACCCAGTGGTCATATCCCATGTATGTATTAATAATAACCAGTGTGGCATGGGTACTGATCAGTCAGCAGGGGTTGTAAATAACTTCTGCTTGACTCTATTCATGCATACCTCCTGACACCTGTTCTGCCAGCAGCCACTGGAAACTACTGCCCATCTTTTGTTTATACCTTTATGGACTTTTTTGTGCATACCTTTATTTTTCACACTGTATATTTGAATATAGGCATGCTTTTATTTTCAGAAATTCCAGCACATGGTATTTTTTAGTAACAATTTTTATGGTTGTAGTTCTTCACTTATCTATTGTTAGTATCTCACACTGGATTCAAAACTTCAGAAAGTCAGGGCTACAGTCTCTCCTGCTCACCATGATATATCTGGGACTTAGCCTAGTGCTTGTAATATGGAATACACAAAATATATATCATTAACTTTTTAAATATGAATAGATCAATAAGTACATTAGTATTTTTCTTGGTTGTGTAGTAGTCTACATCCAGATATATCATAAATTATTGGATAATCTGTCGTTGGACATTTTGACTAATTATTTTCTCCCTGTATTTCCCGGGAGACTTCCCTTGTGCTCTTTTTCATTGTGCAGATTTTTAAGGCAAAGAGAAAGAATAGAATTTAGAGGAGGCTGTTGAGAAAAATGAAGATGGTATCATAATGTATTTGAGATATAACAGCACATTAACTGATTCCCTTGTGGTGATGGATGTATTAATACTTTCAACAGTAAAATCTTTGAGGACTTCTCAAGTCGAATGACCTAAGACTAACCAATTCTAAGAAATCTGAGAGGAGTATGACCTTTGGGAAACTGGTCCTAGAATGAACAACATACAGGTAAAGTGATTGAGTCACCGAAAGTTTGTGATACTGTGAGTGATAGTACTGGAATTTATACTGGTCTTTTGGGTTTGTCCAGGGAACATGTAGCCAAGCAAAGTAGATTACAAGCAACAGTTTGTGAAATGAATCCAAGTTTCCTCATTAACTTTGGCTTTCTATTGGGATGAAAGTTTAAAAATATTCAATTCTATTTTTGAAAACATTTTTCCAAGAGAGTATCTACAACTCTTTGTTCAAAAGACCTAACATATGCTGAAATTGATGTTCCTGCGGGAAGAGGGAGCTTTATGTTAGTACTTCCTGAACTTCTCAGCATGTTCCTTCTACATCGTCTCAGCTGTTGACCTTACAAGACAGTCTTTAAGTGTATACATTTGTGAAACATCCTAAATCCACAAAATATGGTCTTGATTAATTTCAGACATAAACATACTCTCATGTATGATTAATTAATGTCTTCACTGTTAGAAAAAACAGATCCCAAAATGTGACTAAGGACCAATGTGGGCAACATACAGTCCTGATTCACTTCAAGTTAAGCATCAAGGTACAACAATAAAATCTCTTATGGAAATATTGTAGATGACTTTACTGGAGAATGATTTGATGGGCAATGAACCCCATTAGTGACTATAATAATTGAGTAAGTCTGTTCTCACACTGCAAATAAAGACATAACCAAGACTGGGTAATTTATAAAGAAAAAAGTTTAGTGGACTCACAGTTCCACATGGCTAGGGAGGCCTCACACTCCTGGTGGAAGGTGAAGGAAGAGCAAAGGCACATTTTACATGGCAGCAGGCAAGACAGCATGTTTGTGTATGGGAAGTGCCCTTTATAAAACCATCAGCTCTTGTGAGACTTATTCACTATCACAAGAACAGCACAGGAAAAGCACTCCCATATAATTCAATTCCTGGTCCCTCTCATGATATGTGGGGATTATGGGAACTACAATCCAATATGAGATTTGGGTGGGGACACAGCCAAACCATATCAATAATTAAAGGAAGAGGTGGGCCAGGCCTGGTAGCTCACAACTGTAATCCCAGCCCTTGGGAAGGCTGAGGTGGGCAGATCACGAGGTCAGGAGTTCTTGACCAGCCTGACCAACATGGTGAAACCCTGTCTCTACTAAAAATACAAAAATTAGCCAGGCATGGTGGCATGCGCCTGTAATCCCAGCTACTCGGGAGGCTGAGGCAGGAGAATCACTTCAACTCAGGAGGCGGAGGTTGCAGTGAGCTGAGATTGTGCCCCTGACTCCAGCCTGGTGATGGAGTGATACTCCCTGTCAAAACAAAACAAAACAAAATACAGGAAGAGGTAAAAGAGATTCCGGAGTATTTTTTATTTATTCACTAAGAACAGTGACTATGCAAATACTTATGGTGTTCAATGTTCATTTATTATAGAAATATTCACGCCCTGAAGATTGCATTATAGTGCACAAAAGCTGTCGCTGTCTCCTGGTAGTAGTGAAATGGCATTGTTAGAACATGGATAAAAACACAAATCTTGTTTGAGTGAAGAGATTTAAAGTCCACAACAGCTATTACTCACTAACTAAACCAATTTCCAATAGAATATATGCAATAAAAAGGTCAAAGGTGGGATAATCTTAGTAAATATAACCAAAATGAAATCATATCACTACTGTGTACAAAAGTGTCATTAGTAAAACAATTGCAGGGAAAGGGAGTCCTTGAGGACTTCCTGGTGACTAAAATTTCAATCACATATAAGAATATAAAATATATTCTTATATATATATTTTTATATTCATATATAAGAATATATAAAATATATTTTATATTCTTTTATATATATATATAAGAATATAATAACTTTTCTTATATTCACTCATGATAGACAGTCTAACTTTGATGTACATCAGGAACAGAACCATAAGTCATTGGTTTCCTTTGGTTTTGAATTTGATATCTTCCACTACCTAGATTTAGGCATCCATGAATGTAAATCATACGTTCCCGAAGGCCCTGGAGCGCAAGCAGAATTCACCTGGTAAATACTGCTAAATGTTTTCAGGGCCCTTCCATCCAGCTGGGGTGAGAATTCACCATCTGCTTTGAAACCAGGTGAGCAAACAAAACCACATGTTGCTGACTTACATAATTCCTTCAAGGAGAAAAGAAGCCTTGGGCCACTAAATGTCAAAGCTGCTTATTTCTCAGCTTAGTTGAGTGCAGACTCAGCAGTGCTGTGATGGAGGTTAGAAGGTGAATGACTGCACAAGTCTGAGCCAGGAGTCTGGGCAGAAGACAATGATTAAAAAAATATTTTTATCTAACCTTTGTTAAAATAAAACTCTCAGGAGAATAATGGTTTCCTTTCTAAATTAGCTTTGCTTATACCTACAAGGTACAAAGGACAGTGGCAATAGATTGATGATTGTAAACTGACACTTAAATTTTTACATGCAGAAAATGGAATGATGAAAAAATATTAACGACTATTGCCATTGCTTCCCACAAGTTAACCAACAAAATCAAATCACGAGACACAATGTCTAAATGCTTTGTATTTTTATAGCTTCTTTTTATAATTCTTCATTTTGTTCAATATTTAAGTTATTCACTAGCATTCTCTGCTTGGGTTTTAAATTGCCCTTTAGTAACTGATTATTGATGTTCACTGTGGCAGATATATTTTTAGCCTGTTCATAGACTACCAATTAATAATTATTTTTCCACTTCACGTAACAACAATGCAATTGTTTTAAAAATCTACTAATTCTGGTTTCTGGTCTAAGTTGGAGGAATTTAACAATTCATAAGTAATGATACTGTATTTCTAAATAAAGTTTTCTTTATAAAAATTTTATAAAATGTTAAATTTTTATGAGAATTATGGTTATGTGGAGAGTAATAGATACAGACACTGGCTAAATTAAGGTACAATGGAGCATATTAGAAGGATGTGGCTAGATATGGGAAGCCTGACAGGAAAGAAGAGACAGAAAGCAAACTTTGAGCAGGCAAAAACCAATCAGCTCTGGGTGGCCTCAGTAGCTGTATAGTCATATCTGTGTACAACCGCTGTCCCTGCGACAGTTCACTGAAGGTTTGAGGTGCTGGAAGAGAGTCATAATTATAATATTCAGGCTATAGATAATTTTAGGGAAAAATGATTAAGAAGAAGCATCTCCCAGGGTCACCTGAAGCAAATCTAATCTGCAACATGAAGGCAGCACATCAGTAGTTGTCTGGAGCTGGAGGTTGGGTGGTATGGATTTATCTGGGAAGAGGCACAGGAAATCCTTTGAAGTGATGGAAATGTACATCTTGATTAGGTTTGATAGTTACACTGGTGTATAAATTTGTCAAACATTTTGGTAATGTAAACTTGGATAAATTTTGTTGTGTGTAAAGTATACACCCACAAAGTTGATTTTAAAAAGACATCCAGAAATGTTGCACTTTGTAAATTATATTAAAATATACCTATAAGTTGTTTGACAATAACAATGAATAAACCAACTATGTTCACCACAGCTCTAGAATGACAGAAATTGACTTTTGGCATGACAGTGTAAGGAGCTCCAGATAAAATCAGCAACCATTTGAAGTCTTGAGAAATGGTACTACGTACAAATAGCAAATAAAATAATATCTACTTGAGAAAATCTATAAAAAGCAGTAAAAAAAAAAAAGCAATAGTCTATAGTATTTAAGTCCAAACTGCTCTCTTTTTTTCCCTTCTCAGATCAGTAAGGTGTAGAGATTTCACTGAAACCAAGAACACAGGACCTGCTCCCCACCCCGCTTCTTTGCTCCCAGTTGGAGAGCTTTCTTTTTAGGAGGAGTAAGATGTCAGTATTTCTTATCTTACACAGAGCTACCTACTGCAGAGGCTGAGTGCGGTTGAGAAGTGGAGGTCACCTTCATCTGCCCATTTCCCACCCATGGCACAGATACGTTTTGCTTTAGGTGTGGAATGCTGAGGATATGGGGTAGGGGCCCTAATCATCTTTGACTTGGCTTGTGAGGAGGCATGTTTCGGCACCAGAAGAAGTGAGCCACAGGGACCTTAGGCTACTTTTGTATTCTGTACAGTTTTCCACCACCAAGTGCTCAGCTTCTAGAGTGAGAGTGATATCTAGGGATATCACTCAGAGAAAAGTTTACCAACAAGCCATAAAAGAGCATCTAATTTCTTCCCAAAGGAACTGACTTCAGTTGCAACATATTTTGGAGAAGTTCAAGCTTGAAAGTACTCATAAGAACAGCGGAGACTGTGGTAGAAGCCAACTGAGAAAAAATATGGTCTAAATTGTAAGTTGGTACCACAGAATAAGGTAGGTGGGAGGTGCCACCTTGGAGTAAAAAATGATAAAAATGACTTCAATAACTTTCTTCAAAGGAGCTAAAATTTTTTAGGATTTATTTGTATGGTAATTTATGTTATAGGGCATTGTTATAAAAAATAGAGATACCATTCAGCAATTAATGAAGTTTAACAGATAGGTCCAGTAAGGGAAAGGTAAAAACAAAGCTCTACCAAAACCACTGTCATCCCAGAGTGACCGTGGGCATACCTAAAGCTGTGTCTCCCTAAAAAGTGACATCAGAGGTTTAACACTGAAAGAATGGGTAGATTTCCCTGAAATAACCCTTCCAGCCTCTAAACAAATAAGCAAGTAACAAGCCCCAAGAGGGCATGAAGGGACAGTACCCAGAAATGCTACAATATGTTTCCTAAAATGTCCAGTTTTTATTAAAAAAAAGTATACTAAAAATACAAAAAAATTAGCCGGGCGTGGTGGCGGCGCCTGTAGTCCCAGCTACTCGGGAGGCTGAGGCAGGAGAATGGCGGGAACCCGGGAGGCGGAGCTTGCAGTGAGCCGAGATCGCGCCACTGCACTCCAGCCTGGGCGACAGAGCGAGACTCCGCCTCAAAAAAAAAAAAAAAAAAAAAAAAAAAAGTATAAAAGATGCAAAGAAACAAGAAAGTATAACAATACACCAGAGGTTTAAAGAAAAGAGCAGGCAGCAAACTCCCTGTGAGAGCACACACACAGAAAACCATATTTGTCAGAAAAAGACTTTCCATTAAACAACTATAAACAAGTTCATAGATCTAAAATAAATTAGTATTAAAGAAATAAAAGTATGATGACAATGCCACCTCAAATACAGTATATCCATAGGAAATAAAACATTGTAAAAATATTCAAATGAAAATGTTAGAGTTAAAAATGCAGTAAGTGGGAAAAAATACACTAGAGGAGCTTAACAATAGATTTGGACAGGAAAAACAACCTTGAAGAGAGCTCAGTAAAGATTATGTGAGCCTAAAAACAGAGAGAATAAAAAAATAAAGAACAATAAAGAAAGCCTCTAAGAAAACATTACGTGTAATAGGATACCAAAAGGGAGGAGAGAGAGAAAGGAGAAGAAAATATATTTTAACAAATAATGGCTGAAAACTTCCTAAATCTGTTCAAAACCAATAATCTACATATCAAGGAAGCCCAACAAATTCCAAGGAGGGTAAACACAAAGATCTTCACAATAGACACATAATAATAAAAATGGTGAAAGTCAAAGACAAGGAGAAAATTGAAAGCAATAAGAGAAAAATGACTTATTACTTAAAAGAGAATACAAATAAAATTAATAGCTGATTTTTTTTTCCTTTCTTTCTTTTCTTTTGTTTTCTCTCTTTCTTTTTTTTTTTTTTTTTTTTTTTTTGGACAAAGGCTTGCTCTCTCACTCAGGCCAGAGTGCAATATTGTGATGAAGGCTCACTGCAGCCTTGGCCTCCCATGTTCAAGTGATCCTTCTCACTTCAGCCTCTTGAGTGGCTCGACCACAGGTACATGCCACCATACCTAGCTATTTTTTGGAGAGACAGAGTCTCCCTATGTTGCTCAAGCAGGTCCCGAACTCCTGGGTTCAAGCAATCCTCCCACCTTAGCCTCCCGAAATGCTAGGATTGCAAGTGTAAGCCATTATACTTGGCCAATAGCTGATTTCTCATCAAAAAAGAAAAAAAAAGAAATAAAAAATGGAAGCCAAAGATAGTAGAATAATCAAAGTGCTTAAAGTAGAAACAAGCAAAATGAAAATGCCAACTAAAATTATTTTATTTTATTATTTTATTTTACTTTAAGTTCTGGGATACATGTGCAGAATGTACAGGTTTGTTACATAGGTATACATGTGCCATGATGGTTTGCTGCACCTATCAACCCATCATCTAGTCCTTAAGCCCAGCATGCATTAGGTATTTGTCCTAATGGTCTCCCTCCCCTTGCCCCTGACTCCCCAGTAGGCCCCAGTGTGTGATGTTCCCCTCCCTTTGTCCATGTGTTCTCATTGTTCAACTCCCACTTATGAGTGAGAACATACGGTGTTTGGTTTTCTGTTCCTGTGTTAGTTTGCTTTGCAAAATATAAGAATTTTGTAGTGTATACCCAAAGGATTCTACTATAAAATTCTTATATTTAGCAAAGTTATATTTAAAAAATGAGCTGGGCATGGTGGCTTAAGCCTGTAAACCCAGCACTTTGGGAGACCCAGGCAGGTGGATCACGAGGTCAGCAGATTGAGACTATCCTGGCTAACACGGTGAAACCCTGTCTCTACTAAAAATACCAAAAAAAAAAAAAAAAAAAAAAAAAAGCCGGGCATGGTGGCGGGCATCTGTAGTCCCAGCTACTAAGGGAGGCTAAGGCAGCAGAATGGTGTGAACCTGGGAGGCAGAGCTTGCAGTGAGCCGAGATCACGCCACTGCACTCCAGCCTGGGTGACAGAACGAGACTCTATCTAAAAAAAAAAAAAAAAAAAAAAAAGAATTTGATTTTTCACATCTAACTTCATAAAAGATATTGGTCTATAGATTTCTTTTTTTATCGTGTCCTTGTCTGGTTTGAGTATCAGGGCAATGCTGGCCTCTATCATCTGAGGCATGCTAGGAGGACTCAACATATGCAAACCAATAAACATGATTCATCACATTAACAAAATCAAGGTTAAAAAAAGTATATGATCACTTCAAAAGACACACATAAAAATCATTTGATAACATTGACCACCCCTACATGATAAAAACCCTCAACACATTAAGTACAAATGGAACATACCTTAGCACAGCCATGTATGACAAACTTAAAGCCACCAACTTGACCTTCAGATTGAATGCACTCCGTATCAAAATACAAAATATATTTTGCACAGAAATAAGTAAAACAATCCTAAAATTTGTGTGGAAGCTCAAGACGCCAAATAGCCAAAGCAATCTTGAGCAAAAGTGCAAAGCTTGAGGTATCACACTACCTGACTTCAAAATATACCACAAAGCTATACTAACCAAACTAGTATGATACTACCATAAAAAAAAAATACAGGCCAATGGAACAGAATAAAGAACCCCAAAACAAAGCCACATATTTACACTCAACTTATTTTTGACAAAGGTGCGAAGAACACACATTGGGGAATAGGCAGTGTCTTCAAAATAAATGGTTCTGTGAAAACTTAGATATCTACAGGCAGAAGAATGAAATTAGACCCCTACGACTCATCATATACAAAAGAAAGCAACCCAAAATGGATTGAAGACTTAAATGTAAGACCCAAAACTATGAAACTACTGGAGGAAAACCTAAAAGAAACAAATTTATTTGAGCCCAGTAACATTGTTCATATAACATTTAAAAACAGATTGTGAGGAACAGGGCTTATATTCATCTTTTCTGGTCAGGTAGCCTGCCTTATCTCTTAGACTTATATCTGTACATTAAGGCAAAATTCAAGTATTGAGCCAACTACCTCAGTCTCCTTCCTCTGAAGTTATAGTAATGTTTTCCGTTTCTGTTTTCATCTTGACTCTAATTGGAATAAACATTTTTTTCAAAGGCAAAGATTATTACATATTAAAAAACTTCTATAGTTCAGTATGTTCATAGTACATTAAAAAATTTGTGTGTCTATCTACAGCTATTAATCCTATCTCTCAGAGTGAGTTCCCATTGCTAACATGAAAAACACAGACCACAAAAATTGAAATGGGTATTTCTATTCTCACTTCTCTCAAAAACAGAAATCTAAAATATATTAAGAGATTTTTCACAAGTCACATAACAAACCTGAGGTTGAGCCATAGACCCCATGGCTTCTCCCATTTTGCCTTAGTAATCATTCTTTCATTTAAAAGGAAATATAAAATCTGTATTATTACTCTAAGTTATTCTAATATCAAATAAGTTATAATTAACCCTATGTATCAGAAACTGTTTTAGGCAACAACGTTTTCCCCTAAATACCAACTGGAATTTTGTTATTAAAAATAGTGTCTAAGTTTCCTAACTTGTCCTCATCCTAGTTGCAAAGTTTGGCTCAAAGGAAAGCATCATATGACTCTCACAGGGCACTGGAAATGTATATTTCATGGTGCCCTGCATTAAGCATCTACTAGCAAAGGAACACGGCTTGGGAGTCATATACTTGAATATTCTTTGCATACATCTGTGTGAATGCAGAAAGTCCTCTTGATCTTTATAAGCCTCGTTTTCCTAGACTATAAAATAAAGAAATTTTCTTATTTATTTCAAAAAGTTTAAACATGAAAACAATGTAAAAAAGGAAGCGCTGATATTATTAATACATTTCCCACAGCACCTGACTGTAAAGCATTATCTGCTTGGTGGGTCATTGCTAAATCCCTCCTTTCCCTTCCTGACTATTTTCAGTGTTTACTTTCACTTGTCTTCACAGAAGCCAGGACCATCTTCTGTGACATACCTAGAGCATGTATGAACATTCATTATAGAGTGAAAAGCAGGGTTGTCTGTGATCAGTTACCTAGGAATGCCATCCCCTGACTCCACAAGCATGAGACGTGAGTCTTTTTCTCTCCAGTGGGAGGGCTACAACCATCCAGTCATCCTTGGGACATGTGGTATTTGGGTAGTTTGCCTTTCCCAGCAGTTTCCTAAAGATCTGCAGGATCCTTAACTCAGACAACCAGTTGCCTAGGTCTGACATCATAAGGCATTCTCAGGGTCAGTGTGCACATTAAAAATGAAAGAGCCATCAGGGAGTGGGGTCTGCTCCTGGAGCACAGCAGCACTGTGGCCTGTAGGCCCTGAGCCAAGCACACCTCTCTTGAGGAGTGGTGACCACCTGCTCCCTCATAGTCCCTTTCTTGCCTTGCAAAGTGTCCCAAAAGCTTATCTGATTCCCACACCCCACCACATTTTATTTCTTTGCTTCTTAGTACCCACCTCACCATAACCCTTAGAAACAGAGATCATGCCTTTTCCACTGGTTCTCCTTTTCTTTTTGTCCTCCAGTGCTGAACATGGCACAAGGCACATAGTAAACATTTAGTAAAAAGATTTAATGTGTCAAACTATTAAATAGCTAAGGAAGGACTGGAGGCCTAGAGAACCTGAATTAGTTCAGGTTTATATGGAGATCATTTTTTTTCTGTAAGGAAAATAGAAAAGATAAGTCTTAGAATTAATGTGGTTCAGATGGGCAGAGGGAAACTGGATAGGAGATAATAGCAGAGGACTCAGAACAAATACTTATTGTGTGTTCAGGGGAGAAAAAAAAGGAACTCAATTTAGCCTTTTTGGATTTACGGACAAGCCAGAGAGAAATGCAGAGACAAACACAAGTTTAGGGCTGCCTTGCTGGGAACACTTACCCTGCCTGGATTTACCCTGGGTGTCGAGCCAGCTTCCCCAGCACTTTTCCTACGTGAGGCTGTATTGATTGCTCGGGTTAAGTGGAGGTGTCTTATTATTTGTGTAGGTCAGGCTTTCCTGTTATAACTTGCAGTTCACTTTTCATTTATTTTAAAAATCAGCAAAAGCAAAAACCCCAGCAGCTGCCTAGGGTGCTTTTTTGCTGAGATGAAGGTTAAGATTTATTAGCTACATTCCCTATAACATTGTTTTGTCCAAGCAAACTCTCTCTCCTGTTTGCTTTAATTGTTGGAATAAATAGGGAGACATAAAGTAAAAGTAAATAAAGAGAAGCCAGTGATCATATCCTTTGGCTTTTCATTAGTCTCTATAGGAGTTAGGCAGTCAGTCAACAAGTTTTGAGCAACCTATTACTGAATGCATCAATATATGCTAGTAACGGAAGTTTTTTGCCTCAGTTGGACGTAATAAACATTGCTCTCATCACAGTTCAATGTCTATTTGACAATTACTACAATGATGCCTGTCCATGAATAATTAATGAGATGCCATGGAGTTCCAGCAAGGCATTCTATCTACACATAGGCTCCAGTGTCATCGGTGGCTGGTATGATCAACAGAAGGAGAATCATTGATATTTGTGTAACACCAAAGCCAGAGTTGTCCCTTTGGTGGTAGACACTTCACTAGGCCTCTTAGACAAACAAGCCTTCTTAGCAGAGGTGTCAACGCATTGTATGACCTGTCCTCAGGATATGTCACCCCTTTGGTACGTAGAACGCTCCTGTCAGCATTACAATAATAATACCCTGGAAGTATTGGAAGTGTGGGACATTTCTAAGAGAGAACTGACTTTAAAAAATAAAGATGGATAATAAATAAGAGCATTTGTGTGCATTAGAAGAAAGTACATTCAAGAGTAAGTCTGCTCTAACTTGGCTTCATTAAGTCAGCACCTCTAGGAACTTTGGCCATAGAAGAACCAAGGAAGGAGGCTAAAGCTGTAAATCTAATGATAAAAATTATAACGCAAATCCCATCTTCAAGTTTGCTAGTGACTACCATGTTAAGTGACCCAATTTCAATACTGAAAATGTGTTTGAAAGATATTTCAATTGCTCTAGTGCTCCAGAAAAGATTATAAATGTTTTGTGTATGTATATTACATATGTGTGTATGTTTGTATGTATACATATATAAATATGTATGTATATTTTTGTATGTATATATGTACATATATGTATATATACCCAGATATAGAAATATACCTATATGTGTACATATATATGTGTACATAGATACATGTGTGTTCACATACACATATGTACACATATACACACATATATATGACAGAGGTGTGTATATCACAGAGGTGTATATGTGTATATGTGTATATATACTTGCATATATGTATATGTATGTATGTGTGTATAGACATATATACACATACATATGTGTGTATAGACATATATATGCATATATGCATATACTATATTTATATACAAAATATTTGTTTATACACACACACACAGAGAAGGAGAAACAGCAGAAACACAAAGAGATAGACCTCTAAGCAAACAAAGTTACACAAATGTGAGGGTACAGACATATAAAGAAAACAGGGACAAGCTGACTTCTTTGTAAAACTCTCCATCTAATAAAACTCTTAGAATACTGTCTTCGAAAATATTAGCATTTAAAAACTTTTGACAATTCCTATGTTATCTTTAAAATGAATAAATTTAACAATTGATACCACTTATTTTCCTCACCTGCGCATTTCACCATTCTTTACTCTTCTGCTTTCTAGGAAGGAGGAGCACCCTAGATCTAGAGTAAGGTTGCTCAGACCGGGTTCCTTGGAGAAGCCTCAGGGAGTCTGTGTCCTATGCAATGTTTAATGAAAGAGGTTATTTTTATTTTACTTTTGCAGTTTGTTTGAGGAGGCTCTCAGGCATGTTTCAACGTTAAGAGGTTTTAAGAGTGATAATAAAAAAGAGATCATTGGCCAGGCGCAGTGACTCAGGCCTGTAATCTCAGCACTTTGGGAGGCCGAGACGGGTGGATCACGAGGTCAGGAGATCGAGACCATCCTAGCTAACACGGTGAAACCCCGGCTCTACTAAAAAATACAAAAAATTAGCCAGGTGTGGTGGCAGGCACCTATAGTCCCAGCTACTTGGGAGGCTGAGGCAGGAGAATGGTGTGAACCCGGGAGGCAGAGCTTGCAGTGAGCTGAGATCACGCCACTGCGCTCCAATCCGAGTGACAGAGCGAGACTCCGTCTCAAAAAAAAAAAAAAAAAAAAAAGAAGATAATTTCTTTGCTAATGCATGGCCAATTCTTCCATCCACATAGTGTTTCACTTTGGGAATTTTTAATGTTTCAACCTCCAACCTGAGTGATGGAGAATGGGTCCTGTTTGTTGCAGGGAATATAGATAGTATGATAAGAAGTTTGTAGTCTAATGTCATTTTAAGGATTTTATTTTCCCATAGGTTCTGTAGCTACAGAAAGCAGGTATTTTTCTATTTTTACCACTCATCCTGTGGCATTTTCATGTCCAAGTTATGAGGAATTTTCTAGGGGGGTGTGTGTGTGTGTGCATGCACAGGTGAAAAATAATATTTTCTAACTCTAGGGTCAACCTGGGTCTGCCTAAGGATCATCTCTCCATCTCCACCTGCCATAGTGCATAAGATTTACTAACTAACTCATATTGGACCTGGAGAATCACCAGCAATTTTATTCATATAAATCATCTCAGTGTTTCATGAGGATGAAAGGCAGAGTAGTAGATGGTCCAATAATTCATCCTATGATTTCCTGAAGCAAGCCTGAAGATTCCCCTGAGTTGGCCTCAATCTGTCTTAATTTTATTTCCTCAGTATGCCTAGTCTGTCAGCTTCTTGTGGTCATGAATATTTTGTCTAGTCCCATTATTGTATCTTCAAGGCCTGCAACACAAGAGGGCTCAGCACAGATTTGTGCTGGTGATACTGGTATTTTGTTATCATTTTCAGGAACCTTCTTATTCACCTGATCTACTGAAGAAAATGAGTAAAATCTGCACATGAGATTACTTTGGTTGGGTCCAAGAGATAAACAGATGTTCCTGCCAGACAATTCACTCTGCATTAACATAAAGCCAGTGGATAAAGAAAAATGATATGTTTCATTAAGTTGTGGTAGCCTGCTCTTGTATTCATCAATTTATACTTTACTAAAAATGTCTGTTGGCTAATGTGTAGAGATGATCATAATAAATGTTAATCGCTTCTAGCAGTTTATCTTTCTCGTCACGATCATCCCTTTGCTCTCATTCCAATTTCAATCAAAACACACAGATGTAGAGTTTATTGGGATGAGACAGACTGGAGATTTATAGTCAATGTACCTCCCAGCAATTAAGAGAACTTATCCAAACAACTCCCATCTAAGTTGATTGAAATTTAGGTCTATTTATCCTGAAAATTAGAAATTTCTATAAAATAAAAACACAATTATACATTCTAAAAAGACCGGTCAAGTTAATATCTTGTATTTTTATTCAGACAGTAGCACTTGGGAACAAATTGCTCTACTACTTTCCCTTGACCACTAGCACCCCATGATTCAGACATTTCCCTTTCAATTTAGCAGATGAGATCTGAAAAATCATATAGTAAAAAATATAAATGCATATATATTTTAATATGTATTAAAGGCTGAAGAATGCAACCTTAAAGCTGAACATCTATTTATAAAAAAGTTGGTAGGATTGTAGAAAACTGCCTTTAAAAAATGATTTGAGTTTTAAAAGTTCAAAAATATATGTTAGTAAGTTTTTGAATAAATGTAAGGAAAGTAGATATATTTGTCAGTGGTTAAAATATTCAACTCTTCATCTGGTGTCAGCACCCTTATTCTCCTCTTAAAATGATTTGCTATGGTTTGAATGTTTCCCCAAACTTCCATGTGTTGGAAACCTGATTCCCACTGCAACAGTGCTGAGAGGTAGGGCTTTTAAATGGTGATTAGTTCATGTCTCTGCGCTCCTTAACAGATTAATGGCATTATGCTGGGAGTTATCACAGGAGTGAATTACTAATAAAATGGTAACTCTTCTCTTTATTATCCTAATGAAAAGAATGAATCTGGCCCACTTTCTCTCTTGCCTCATCTTGTGATCTCCTGCCCTTCCACCTTCGGCCATGGGATGGTGTGGCAGAAACAACTTTATCAGACGCTAGCACTTTGATATGGGACTTTCCAGCCTCAGAACTGTGAAAATTTTATTTTCTTTGTAAATTATCCCATGTGTGGCATTCTGTTGTAGCAACACAAAGAAGACTAAGACACCATCCCTCCATCTCTGCTAATTCTTGTGGTATTACTGGAGCTGCTTCCTTCTGTAACTACAAAGGTGAGTATATGACCTGCCCTGGCAATCAGAGTAACACATCCCTCTGACTAGAGCAATTAGTTCATCCTTGGTTATGACCAAACCATAGCTCAATGAGGCTCAGTTCTGGGTCTTTTTTGAACCTCGTAGTAGATGAAAGCTGAGCTGCTGAAAACAGATAATAATCTTAGAGTAACAAGCATCCATATTACAGTAAAAAAGGGACAATATAAAAGTGGATTTAAACAAAGAATAATAGACCTGAGATTGAAAGACAGGTAATTAGAAATTTTATTGCATCCCTGGATGCAGTCAGGCTTTAAACTAATATTCTGAAACTTTTTTTTAAAAGTTTTTTTTTTTTTTTTTTTTTTTTTTTTTTTTTTTTTGAGACGGAGTCTCAAGCTGTTGCCCAGGCTGGAGTGCAGTGGCGCGATCTCGGCTCACTGCAAGCTCCGCCTCCCGGGTTCCCGCCATTCTCCTGCCTCAGCCTCCTGAGTAGCCGGGTATTTTTTAAAGTTTATTTCTAGGCCAGGCGCGGTAGCTCACGCCTGTAATCCTAGCACTTTGGGAGGCCGAGGCGGGCGGATCACAAGGTCAGATCGAGATCATCGTGGCTAACACGGTGAAACCCCGTCTCTACTAAAAATACAAAAAGCTAGCCGGGCGAGGTGGCCAGCGCCTGTAGTCCCAGCTACTCGGGAGGCTGATGCAGGAGAATGGCATGAACCCAGGAGGTGGAGCTTGCAGTGAGCCAAGATTGTGCCACTGCACTCCAGCCTGGGTGACAGAACCAGACTCCGTCTCAAAAAAAAAAAAAAAAAAAAAAAAAGTTTATTTCTAAAAATCTGTTATATACAGTTCATATATATAATGTCTATAATAAAATTTATATATTATATAAATTGTATATATAAATATAACCCTGGAGAGTCCCCAGAGACCTTCCTGCCTATTTCCCCCTCTAAATTCTAGACTGTCAAATAGCTGGTGAGACAGCTGAGCGGTCAAATAAGTTGATGAACTGTTTTCTTCTAATTTAGCAAAGTTCAGTGGTGACCTTGAGATAAGTAGTATTAGTAGATTAGTAGAGGACCACAGCTTGATTGGAATGGATTTAATAGCAATTAAAAAAAGAGAAGTTGAAATAGAGATTAGGTGTTTTTGTTGAGGTCTGTTGTCGGGGGAGCAAACAAATGCTGGCAGGCAGGAGAAGTGGGGCCAATAACATTCACATTATTGATAATTCTTACTGCATATAACTGAAATTGTACTGTCTACCTGACCATAAATGATTGCCCAAGAAAGAGTCACCAACCAAGGTGAGTCAATGTATAGACTAACAATGGCAAATAATAATCTGGTATGAAAGAAGTGACCTGTAGAGATGATGGCAATAGTTGGACCAATCTGAGTCTTTCCAAAAGAATTTGAATCAGAAACATTGAACCAGAAATAGTTGAGATGCTGGTACAAACAGAAAAGGCTCAAAAACATACTAAGTCAAACAGAATCAGATAATGTAATTTAATGATTTTTAATAGCAGTTCATAGTGACTAGAAGAATCAACAAAATCCCATTTTTACCAGTTAGACTCTAGGCTATCTCAGTTAACTTAGCAATGGTGGATTGTAAAGAATTATTCAGATTTTGTGAGATTCAATTTTGAAATTCCTTACTGTGTTTTCCTGAATTTACTATTTAAAAGGCAATGCATTCATATGGTGCAAAATCCCAAGGGTGCAACAGGATTTATAGTAAAAATCTTCCTGCTGCCCCCACTCCCAAGTACCTAGTTTTTCACTCCGAGGCAATGACTTATCAGTGGTCTGCATACACTCCTAGAGTCATTGTGTGTATTAAACCAATATGTGTATAAAAGTATGTGTGGGTGTATGTGTGCCCAAATATACATGCTTTTATCAAAAAACGTGAAAATTAATTTATGTCAGTACATAAAAAACTTCCTCATTCTTTTCTTTAGCAGTGGATGCAACATGGTGTAATCATGTCCCATATTGATGGACATGGGATTATTTCCTATCTTTGGCTTTTATACATAAAGCTGCAGTGAGGAACTTTACATCCAAGTCATTTTGCATGCACAAAGTTTACCTACATAATGTATTTCAGAAGTTAAGTTCTGGAATTAAATGAGCAGGTGTTTATAATTCTGACAGGTGTTGCCAAATGACTTTCCACAGTGGTTGTAAAAAGTTACATTTCTATGAAAGTTGTGTCCCCACATCCTAGAAAACAGAGTTCATGATCAAATAATATTTTTAAATATTTGCCTATCAAAAGGTAATATGTATCTCTCTATAGGTTTAAATGATAATTATCTTATTGTGAGAGAGGCTAGGAATCTTTTCACATACTTAAGAGCCACTCCTATTTTATTTTTTTTAATATTTGTTTATTTCTTCTTTGGGTTGTTGATCATTTTTCATATCAAGTGTAGTGGCCCTTTCTATGAGACAGAAATTAGCTCTTTGTCTAATATTCATTGTAAATACTTTTAAACCATTTCCCCTATGTTTTTATTTCTTCGTGATGCATTTTTCTGTGAAAGAAGATCTCACATGTGTGTCTGTGTGCATGTGTGCACGCTTGGTAATTGAATTTGTTAAAATATTTCTTTAATATGACTTCCAGCTTACGTGTAATATCTAGAAAGGTCTTTCTTATTCAAAATTATAAAACAATTATTTTCCATTTTAAAAATACTTCTATTTACTTTTTTTATAGTTAAATCTCTAATTCATTTTTAAATAACCAGTGTCTAAGATGTGAAAAGCTAATCGAATTTATCCAATTTTTTCTTCTTTCCCAGAATGAATATCTAGTTTTCCCAATACTCATTAAATGCAATATTTTCCAACTGATTTGAAGTATTTTGTTTATCATATACTAAATTTTGATATTTTCAGAACCCTCTCTTCAGTTTTTATTTGGTTCCATTTAATTTGTTCATTCATTGGTAATAAACTGTTTTAACTTGTGTAACTAATTCATGTATATTAATATAATTTTATAATATATTTAGTCCTCTCATTACTTTTCATTTATTATAGCTAATTTTTTTAACATATGAAATTTAGAATCTCAGCTGTGCATTATTGATCAGTTCCATTTCCTAACCAAGGAATAAAAATTTAGTAATGACACATATATGAGAAAAACTTGCTCAAATATGCACATTTCTTCTCTCTCTATATATATGTAGTTGATATACATAAAGATATATATAGTTGATATATATATAAAGTTATATATAGTTGATATATATAAATATATATAGTTGATATATATATAAACATATGTATAGTTGATATATATATAAACATATGTATAGTTGATAGATATATAAACATATGTATAGTTGATATATATATAAACATATGTATAGTTGATATATATATAAACATATGTATAGTTGATATATATACATATATATCTCTTCCTCTCTCTCAGCAATGGTAAGCTCTCTCCTTTCCCTGGCTCCAAAGTTCTCAGTTTGATATAGGCTCCAAAGTTCTCAGTTTGATATAGTTTTGGTATTTGTCTCCACCCAAATCTCATGTTGGATTACAATCCCCAATACTGAAGGCAAGAGATGGTTGAAAGTGTTTGCATCCTGAGGGTGGATCCTTTATGGCTTGGTGCTGTCTTCATGATAATGTGTGAGTTCTTGGTCATTTAAAAGTGTGTGGCACCTCCCCACCCCCACTCTCTCTGTCCATTACTCCTGCTTTTGCCAAGTGACATGCCCACATCTTAGAAAACAGAGGTCATTATTAAACCATATTTTTTAGTATTTGCCTATAAAAAGCAATATGTACATCAACATAGTTTTAAATCATAACTATCAATAAATTCCACCATGATTGTGAT